GGCCTGTTCAGTAGACTACTAGACTCTCCTCTACAGTTCCATTTTGGTGGGAAGCCTTAGCATTGAACGGTTGTGTTGTTAAAGTGCGAAGTATGGAACCCTGCACAGACAGCCGGTCAATGCGACTGAAGCAATGTGCAGTCATTGAAGGTGTCACCCAAAGAAGATTCATCAGAGAATGCAAGCTGTTTATGATGATTGATGTGCGTACTGTGCGTCGTTGGGTGAGTAAGTTTAAAGATGGTGGGTATTGACCTTGAGTTGTAGTTCACCTACTCAAACAATGATGGATGTGGACCAAACTTGGCACGAATACTCAATATGCCCAAATGTGAACACTGGTGGAGTTTGAGGGAAATTAGAATCTTGACATTTGGGAGTTGTAGTTGCTGGGATTTATAGTTCACCTACAATCAAAGAGCATTCTGAACCCCACCAACGATGGAATTGAACCAAACTTGGCACACATTTCTCCCATGACCAACAGAAAATACTGGAAGGGTTTGGTGGGCAGTGTCCTTTGCTTTTGGAGTTGTAGTTCACCTACATCCAGAGATCACTGTGGACTCAAACAATGATGGATCTGGACCAAACTCTACACAAATACTCAATATGCCCAAATGTGAACACTGGTGGAGTTTGGAAAAATAGAATCTTGACATTTGGGAGTTGTAGTTGCTGGGATTTATAGTTCACCTACAATCAAAGAGCATTCTGAACTCCACCAACAATGGAATTGAACCAAACTTGGCACACAGAACTCCCATGACCAACAGAAAATACTGGAAGGGTTTGGTGAGCATTGACCTTGAGTTTTGGAGTTGTAGTTCACCTACATCCAGAGAGCACTGTGGACTCAAACAATGATGTCTGGACCAAACTTGGCACGAATACTCAATATGCCCAAATGTGAACACTGGTGGAGTTTGGGGAAAATAGAACCTTGACATTTGGGAGTTGTAGTTGCTGGGATTTATAGTTCACCTACAATCACAGAGCATTCTGAACCCCACCAACGATAGAATTGGGCCAAACTTCCCCAAACAGAACCCCCAGGGGATGGCTAGTATGGTAAAAAAAATAATTTGGGAGTTGTAATTGCTGGGATTTATAGCTCACCTATAATCCAAGAGCATTCTAAACCCCACTGATAAAATTGGGACAAACTTCCTAGACAGAACCCCCATGCCTTGAAGGCAGCCTCCCTCCAGCCTGGCATGCTCTCCCTCACCCCACACATGCACATCATGCTGCCATGCGCAGAGCATGCCTGCTCTCCCCTCCCTGCTTGGAGTCTCAGGCTGACCAATCACAGTGGAGGATTTGCAGAAGACTTTTACCTTCTCTCTCATGCTCACCTTTCCCAGCCTTTCTGCAGTCCTTCCTTTCCTCATCCTCTTACAAAGCCAAGGTGCAACTCCAACTGGAAAGCCCAGAAGGGGATTTCCGCTCCGGCGTAAACACAAGGAGACGTGCCTAGACCCGCAATGGGGGCTCTCAGCCTCACCTGCATTTGAAGACGCATCATTCCTGATGCCCCGGAGCATTACTCAAGCCTGTGACAGCAGTAGGGGAGACAGCCCTGGCCACTGCAGGCTACGGGATTGCTCAGGTGAGGGCAAGGTTCACATCCCCCAAACTGGTGGGTCTGTTCCCAGCTACCAAGTTCATAATGCATGGCTTCTCCAAGTGACCCGAAAACGAATGCTGGGTCCTTCTCCAGAGAGGCTGTTGCTGCTCAGCCTGAGTGGACGCACATTTCCAGCCAGTGCAAAGGGAAGACGGGCCACTTGAATAAGGGAAGTGGGGCAGCCCCACAACAATCTCCTCAAAAACAACGGAAGCAGGCCAGCTTTGGAGCCGCCTCATATCCATACGCTGCGACCTCTGGGGAACAGAGTGAAGACAGCCATAGATTGCTTGACGTGGGCTGGTGCCCCCACTATGCCATCTTATAGGTAGATCCCCCTTCTTATAGAAAGAGCTGTGAGAAATATTAAATATTAACTAGGTATTTGTGATTACAAAAGTGTGAGTCAAGCACTGAAAGTTAGCAGGTTGAAGCCTGTTAGTCAGTGGGCGAAAGCTAGTGTTGTCCTGAGGAGTGTGAGGTAAACCTCTGTGTGAGAGAAGCCTTGTGTGAGAAAGTTCCAGTGTCGTCCTTAGGAGTGTGAGATAAACCGTTGTGAGAGAAAGCTCCAGTGTGAAGGCTGCTGTGTTGTCCTGGAGTGCCAAGTAAACCTCTGTGTGAGAAGCCTAATGTGAGAAAGATTGTGTGAAGGCTGCCGTGTCGTCCTGAGGAGTATGAGGTAAACCTCTGTGTGAGAGAAGCCCCGTTTGAGAAAGCTCCAGTGTCGTCCTTAGGAGTGTGAGGTAAACCTCTGTGAAAAAGCCTTGTGTGAGAAAGATAGTTTGAAGGCTGCCGTGTCATCCTGAGGAATGCGAGGTAAACCTCTGTGTGAGAGAAGCCTCGTGTGAGAAAGCTCCAGTGTGAAGGCTGCTGTGTTGTCCTGAGGAGTGTGAAGTAAACCTCTGTGTGAGAAGCCTCATGTGAGAAAGCTCCAGTGTGAAAGCTGCTGTGTTGTCCTGAGGAGTGTGAAGTAAACCTCTGTGTGAGAAAAGCGTCATGTGAGAAAGCTCCAGTGTGAAGGCTGCTGTGTCGTCCTGGAGTGCCAAGTAAACCTCTGTGTGAGAAGCCTAATGTGAGAAAGATTGTGTGAAGGCTGCCGTGTCGTCCTGAGGAGTATGAGGTAAACCTCTGTGTGAGAGAAGCCCCGTTTGAGAAAGCTCCAGTGTCGTCCTTAGGAGTGTGAGATAAACCGTTGTGAGAGAAAGCTCCAGTGTGAAGGCTGCTGTGTTGTCCTGGAGTGCCAAGTAAACCTCTGTGTGAGAAGCCTAATGTGAGAAAGATTGTGTGAAGGCTGCCGTGTCGTCCTGAGGAGTATGAGGTAAACCTCTGTGTGAGAGAAGCCCCGTTTGAGAAAGCTCCAGTGTCGTCCTTAGGAGTGTGAGATAAACCGTTGTGAGAGAAAGCTCCAGTGTGAAGGCTGCTGTGTCGTCCTGGAGTGCCAAGTAAACCTCTGTGTGAGAAGCCTAATGTGAGAAAGATTGTGTGAAGGCTGCCGTGTCGTCCTGAGGAGTATGAGGTAAACCTCTGTGTGAGAGAAGCCCCGTTTGAGAAAGCTCCAGTGTCGTCCTTAGGAGTGTGAGATAAACCGTTGTGAGAGAAAGCTCCAGTGTGAAGGCTGCTGTGTTGTCCTGGAGTGCCAAGTAAACCTCTGTGTGAGAAGCCTAATGTGAGAAAGATTGTGTGAAGGCTGCCGTGTCGTCCTGAGGAGTATGAGGTAAACCTCTGTGTGAGAGAAGCCCCGTTTGAGAAAGCTCCAGTGTCGTCCTTAGGAGTGTGAGATAAACCGTTGTGAGAGAAAGCTCCAGTGTGAAGGCTGCTGTGTTGTCCTGAGGAGTGTGAAGTAAACCTCTGTGTGAGAAGCCTCATGTGAGAAAGCTCCAGTGTGAAAGCTGCTGTGTTGTCCTGAGGAGTGTGAAGTAAACCTCTGTGTGAGAAAAGCGTCATGTGAGAAAGCTCCAGTGTGAAGGCTGCTGAGGAGTGCGAAGTAAACCTCTGTGTGAGAAGCCTCATGCGAGAAAGCTCCAGTATGAAGGCTGCTGTGTCGTCCTGAGGAGTGTGAAGTAAACCTGTGTGAGAAATGCCTCGTGTGAAAAAGCTCCAGTGTGAGGGCTGCTGTGTCGTCCTGAGGAGTGTGAGGTAAACCTCTGTGTGAGAAAAGCGTCATGTGAGAAAGCTCCAGTATGAAGGCTGCTGTGTCGTCCTGAGGAGTGCAAGGTAAACCTCTGTGTGAGAAATGCCTCATGTGAGAAAGCTCCAGTGTGAAGCCTGCTGTGTCCGTATCGTCCCAAGGAATGCGAGGTAAACCTCTGTGTGAGAGAAGCCTCCAGTGTGAAGGCTGCTGCGTGTAAAGCTACTGTGTATTTGTTTATTTGTGTTATGGAAGCTTAGTTCTTGTAAATAGTGCAACCATATTATTTTACTACAAAAATGTCTCCAAAGAAAGAGATAACCTTGGTCTGCGTGTCTTACGTTCTTTTTATCACTTTTTGTGCTCCTGCTTCTGGGTCACGCTGCAGCTAATAAGCTACTCTGACGTATATTTATGAGTAGTGTCTTTTGTGAATAAGCCCCCACGCCCAACAAGAGCCCCCTTTGCGCTGGTGCTGCCAGCCCAACCTCCCTCCCCGATGAAGGAAACCAGCCCCGCCCCCGCCCCTGTCCTTGAGCCATGGACCGCTCCGTGCTTCTCCTTGCAGAATATTCTTTATTGGATTCAGGGGCAGGGACTCTCTCTCTGTGTGTGTACACTGGAATGTGTTATAAGGCCTAAACGCATTATTTGACAGGGTTACAAAATCTCCTTTAAATATCACCCCCACCCCCAAAAAAACAAGACCCCCTAAATTTGATGGTGGAACTATGCTTTTTAGAAATTCAGACAGACAGCTGGATCAGTAAGATTCACGGAGGCTCCTCTCTGGGGCTGAGCGAGACCCCTTTCCCCTTCCCCTTTCCCCTTCCCCATCCCAGGACACTTTGGAAAGAGTCACTTGAGCAGCCAGGCAACGCGGGAGGAGAGGCCGGGACTCCCTTAGCTGGGGCACCAATGGACCAGTGCCAAGCGCCACCGGCTGGCCCCTTCCCAGAATTATGGGGGGATCAGGTATGGGGCAATTTGGAGAGAACAAGGGAAGGGGGCCCTCAGAAGGTGGTGCCAGGATATCCCCACCACACACACACCCTCACAACAGGGCCAGATTGGCCAACAAGGGCTCTAGGGCACCCAGAAGAAGAGTGCCAGTGCTGAGCGCTGGAAAGGGCCAGTTGCCACGTTGGTGCTTGCCGCAATCCCACACTAGCCAGTGAGGAGGGGGCCCTGGAGTTGGGGGCTGCTGGGAATGGAAGCACAGGAGGAGTGGGCTCAAGGATGGAGGAGGAGGGGAGGAAGGGGCGGAAGGGGCCGCGCCAGAGGAGCAAGCAGTCTCTCCCTGCCTGGCTGTGCCCTCGAGGAGGTCGGTGGGCAAAGCAACAGCTCCGTGGTCTCCTGACAACGTGGAAAAGCCGCAGCCTGTCTCCCCCAACCCCGAAAGACTCCAGTCTTGGTCGCTCCTTCCCGGTGGCGAGGGCTACAGGATCTCGTACTTGTCCACCAGGAAAGTGGTCTCCGTGGAGAACCTCACGGGGCTGTTCCCATCCACCTGGGTCACTTTGGTAACCTGAGAGAGAAAAGGAGAGAGGGGGGGGGAGGGATAAAGGTCAGCCAGGGAAGGGACTCCTCTCCCTACGGAAAGGGGGCGATAATAATAATAATAAACCTTTATTTATACCCCGCTACCATCTCCCGAAGGACTCGGTGCGGCTTACAAGAGGCCGAGCCCAAATACATCAGTACACAACAACAACAACAATATAACAATAAATGAACTCAAAAACAAAACAATGAAAACAAAGCAATACACATTTAACAAAACACCACGACGCGTTGAAAACCTATGGCAGGGCCAAATGTAATGATTAAAATTTTAAAATATGCTGGGGATGACCAGGTGAAAAGGATAGGTATTTGGAGGGGAATGGGGCGTGCAGACATTCTGGATATCTAGTAAAGTGCATTTGGGGACATATTGCTTGGAGTTTCTTTATTCTGGGAAGGCACACTGGAACAACCAGGTTTTCAAGCTCCTCTTAAAAACTGCCAGCGTTGGGGCATGCCTGGTATCCTTAGAGAGAGAGTTCCAGAGTCGAGGGGCCACCACCGAGAAGGCCCTGCCCTTTGCCTGTTCAAATTCAACCCCACACTGCCCAAGTCCAAGGTCCTCAACAAGAAGCAGTTAATTAGTTAGTTTAGTGTATTTATTTATATATTTATTGTATTTGTATACCACCTTTCTCAGCCCACAAGTACAGACCAGTGTTTCTAAACCTAGGGGTTGGGGCCCCTGGGGGAGTCGTGAGGGGGGTGTCAAAGGGGTCCCCAAAGACCATCAGAAAACACGGTATTTTCTGTTGGTCATGGGGGTTCTGTGTGGGAAGTTTGGCCCAATTCTCTCATTGGTGGGGTTCACAATGCTCTTTTATTGTAGCTGAACTATAAATCCCTGCAACTACAACTCCCAAATTTCAAAATCAACCCCCCAACCCTACCAGTATTCAAATTTGAGCCTATTGGGTATTTGTGCCAAATGTGGTCCAGTGAATGAAAATACACCCTGCATATCAGATATTTACATTACGATTCATAACAGTAGCAAAATTACAGTTATGAAGTCGCAATGAAAGTAATGGTTCTGGTTGGGGGTCACCATAACATGAGGAACTGTATTAAGGGGTTGCGACATTAGGAAGGTTGAGAACCACTGGGTTTCCCTTCTTCCTGTCTCCCGAATGGTTTTGGGATGCCTCTGCTGTAGATTCCCGGGCGGTTTCCCCTGCCCTTGCCCACCTGGATGTTGCAGTAGTTCTTCTTGGAGACGAAGGAGACGTGGACGGGGAAGAAGTCGTTGGGCTGCCCGGCGATGCTGAACTCCAGGCTGCCGCTCTTGGTTTTGGCATCGATGACCGGCAAGCACCACTCCAGCAGGTTCCTCCGGCCGTCGTGGCGGTACTCCCCGTCAATCTCCCCGATCACAGGGGCGCCCACCCCCGGCCTAGGCAGACAAACAGGGAGGCGGGCGGGCGGTCAGCACCACATCCCTCCATCTCCCAGTCTCTTACACTCAAAACACAAGGCTAGAGATGGGAATGGGGATCCTTTGGGATGATGCACATCAGACCTTTGCTATTGTTCTCATGCCACTGCTAATATACATTTAAAGAGCCAGTATATGGAATAAGTTTTAATATTTATATTGGAGAGTGCTTACTGTATTTGTATAATATTTAATATGGAGCTCCTGGTGGCGCAGCAGATTAAACCGCTGAGCTGCTGAACTTGCTGACCAAAAGGTCGGTGGTTTGAACTGGGGGGGTGAGCTCCTGCTGTTAGCCCCAGCTTCTGCCAACCTAGCAATTTATTTATTTATTACTAGCCGTCCCATGCCATGCGTTGCTGTGGCCTAGTCTGTATATATGTTTTGTGTGTGTGTGTATATCTCTATCTATCTATCTATCTATCTATCTATCTATCTATCTATCTATCTATCTATCTATCTATCTATGCAAACACACATATATACACATATACACAAATATATATAGATAGATGGGTGTATATGTGTGTATATATTTGTGTATTTCTGTGTTTATATGTTTATTGTGTATATGTGTGTGCTTGTGTATATAGGCTTGTGTATGTACACATGTGTATACGTAAATATATGTGTATGTGTGCATGTCTATATGTATGTGTATATTTGTGTGTGCATGTGTACATATATGTGCGCATGTGTCTGTATGTATGTATGTATGTGTGCATGTGTATATGAGTGTGTGTGTGTGTGTGTGTGTGTATGTATATATATATATATATATATATATATATATATATATATATATATATTTTTCTATCTTTGCTTTTTAAGTATCTTCTGTGTTTTTCAGTTGTTTTATGAGTGATGGTCACTCATTGGCCTGACAGGTGTATTGTGTCCAAGTTTGGTGTCAATTCATCCAGTGGTTTTTGAGTTATGTTAATCCCACAAACCAAAATTACATTTTTATTTATATAGATTTATTTTCCTTGCGTGGACAGCCAGTGAATCACACATTTGGTATATTCCTGCGCTCGTGCAGGCAGCAACGGACACTCACGAGCTCACTTTAACTGACCATTAAAGTAGCCCCGCCCCTTTCTCCCCACTCATATAAATAGCCCTGCCGTGGGGCTACTGGCCAGTTCTTCGGCAGTCAAAAGCAGTCAGAAGTCCTGGGGCATGACCATACAAAGTGGGGAGGATGGGCGGGGATGTGTGAATTCACAGGCGACCACTCAGGAAACTATGTTTACAGGTAAGCAACCTATATTTAATTCATTTCTATCTCGCCTTTCTTGACCTGAGAGGGGACTCAAGGCAGCTTACAAATTTGGCAGAAATCAAAACAATAAAACACATTTCATAAAAATATAAACAATTTAAGCATATGAGCAAAATATATAAGCATAACAATCTATCAAAATGATTAAAAACCACATATAAAATGCTGAGTCATGATCTCATGTCCAAATCGTTTTCCAAAATCCATAGTCCATAATTCAAGCTGTTGAAAAACATGCAAGTGTGAGTAGATCAATAGGTACTGCTTCTGTGGGAAGGTAACAGCGCTCTGTGCAGTCATGCTGGCCGCACGACCTTGGAGGAGTCTACGGATAATGCCGGCTCTTCAGCTTAGAAATGAAGATGAGCTTTAACCCCCAGAGCTGGACACAACTCGATTTAATGTCAGGGGGAACCTTTACCTTATATGATTTAATATCATGGCCTATGGTTGGTACAATAAACAATTCATTCAAGCCAAAACTCACGGCAGCGGGATGGTGATCACCACGTCGTTCAGCTCCAGGCCCTCCTCCTGCAATTCATACTCGATGTTGACGTCGCAGCCGCTCCCGCTCTCCGAGGGCCAGCAGTTAACTAAGGCAAGGAAGGGCTTCAGTTAGCCACCTGGGAACTATGGAGGCCTTCAGGGGCCTTACTCTGTGACTCCGCCCCAACTCTCAGCCCGCCCCTCGTACTCACTGGTCAGCGGGATGAAAGACTCCTCTGTGGTCTGCAGCCGCCACTTCAGCACTCCCACGTCGCTGTTGATGGGAAAAGATTTCTCCGGGTTCTTCAGGCCGATCAGAGACTCTGCTGTGAAAAGCTTCTTGTCCACATTGGGGTGGGTCTGGAGGGAGAGAACAGAGGCGGGAAGAGACTGGATGCAAAGGCACAGGAGCCACGCTTTCCTAGGCCCTCCCCCCTCCCCACAAACCCTAGAGCAGAGATGTCCAACCCTAAGCAACATGTCCCTAATCGCACTTTACTAATGATCTAGGATTGTCTGCTCGCTCCGAACAGGGTATAGGGTTACAGCCTGTGCTGGATGGGGTCGCACTCCCCCTGAAGGAGCAGGTTCGCAGCTTGGGTGTGATCCTGGATTCATCGCTGAGCCTGGAAACCCAGGTCTCGGCGGTGACCAGGGGAGCATTTGCACAGCTAAAGCTCGTGCGCCAGCTGCGCCCGTACCTTGGGAAGTCTGACTTGGCCACGGTAGTCCGCACTGGTTACATCCCGCCTAGACTACTGCAACGCTCTCTACGTTGGGTTGCCCTTGAAGACAGCCCGGAAGCTTCAATTAGTCCAACGTGCGGCAGCCATGATTCTAACAGGAGCGGAGCGCAGGGAGCATACGACCCCCCTGTTGCGCCAGCTCCATTGGCTGCCGATCTGCTACCGAGCTCAATTCAAGGTGCTGGCGCTGGCCTATAAAGCCCCAAACGGTTCCGGCCCAAGATACCTATCTGACCGCATCTCTGCCTATGAACCCACCAGGACTTTGAGATCTTCCGGGGGGGCCCTGCTCTCGATCCCACCGGCTTCTCAAGCACGGTTGGCGGGGACGAGAGATAGGACCTTCTCGGTGGTGGCCCCTCGGCTGTGGAACACCCTTCCTACGGACATTAGGCAGGCACCATCTCTCATGGCATTCCGAAAAAAGTTGAATACCTGGATGTTTGTGCAGGCGTTCGAGTAATCTAGTGCAATATTGGTAATTGAACATAGGAATGGAACAATGGACGACGAACCTGGACTACGCTTTGATGATGAGACGATTGGGCTGGTTATTGTAATAACTGTTTAGTGTAATTGCTTGTTGTTTATTAAGTGGATAATGTGTTAAGTGGTCAAGTGTTATATGTGCATTGAATTATTGCTGTTTTATTGTGTGTAAACCGCTGTGAGTCACGTTCGGGCTGAGAACAGCGGTATATAAGCAAAGTAAACAATAAAT